AAAGGTCGAGATTAAAGAGCATTTTTCTTTCTTCTCCCTTAATATCATCTCCTGAACTCATTTCATTTTTCCGTTCTTTCAATTATTCTTACTTAATTACTTACTATTTTACCTATCAGCATTAATCTTTCTTTTACTTTCTATGGTACAGGAGCATACGATAAAATGGAAGCTAAATCAGCTTTTGTTTTCCTTTAAAATCTATAACTTTAAACTCTTCCCAAAACTGATTCAAAATGCTGGAGATTTAATAAACAATGTGTTGTTGCATTGATTCAGTACTGCTCTTTCCCATCTCGTTATTCATTAGAATTTACGAGACAGAAAAAGTTCTTTCGTAAACAGAATCTGAAGTTGAATCTCTTGTCATACTTTATTCTTTAATTGCCTCTGAAAGAAAAAAAGATTATTTTGGAGCATTTGCAAAATTTATTTATTTATCTTTGCCTTTGCTCAGCTATTTTCAAATTCATTATTGTTGATTGTGTTAAATACATTTCTTAAGCTACCTAAGTTATCACTACAACAAACTAATCTCTTCACGAATATTGCTTTAAAAAAATTAAAACATGAAAAAAAAATTACTGCAGAGAAAAGACGAAAACGGAAATTTTTTCATAATGCAAAATTAAAATTAAATGAAGCAAAGATAACATGAATTGCTTCACTAGAGTAATTAGCTCATTTTGGAAAGTTTGCAAGAGGAAATCATGTCGGCATTCAGCATTCGTACGGACTCAAAAAACAACTGCCTTCTTTCGAAAAGCTACTACTTACCCTTTTTAGTTCTTTCAATTTATCAGCTACAAAAAGATGCAAAATAACACATTTTTCTTCTTTTTCAAACAATTCATTGCAATTGTTAGTTGGTATGCACAAAAAAAATTTAACGTCTTTCTTAATCTGCAACATTTTATGTTGGCAAATTGTTACGTGCGTTAAAAAATTTAAATTAATTGGCAGCTGAAAAATAATAATAAAAAGTTTGCAAAAATGAAGGACAAAAAAGAAAGTTGTAGGGAAATTAAAATGTCACATTTTTCATATATATTAACTGACCTTTCCAGTGGAATGTTTGCAAAATTTTTTTCAAAAAGAAAGGAAAAGAAAAAATTATCCATCTTAACTACTAATCTGTTATTAATTAATTCAAAGGTAAAAAAATGGAAAAGATCAACTTTTTTCATTCCATATCATCTAATTTTTGACATTGCTTATCTAGGTACAATGTAATACACATTGCTTTTGTTCTGCATTTTTTTATAACCTGTATCCTATTTCCATTTTATGTCAGTCATTATTCTGCTAATGCATTTTTTCCTTCTCAACAATTTTACAATTGAATTGATCATTCTAGCTGAATAAATATAATGCATTATTTGAGTAACCGGTACTTCCATAATCGAATGATGATGATTCACTTCTCTTTATGGATCATCTTCTTGCTTTTGTTACAACATTTATTCATAGTAAGCATACATAACAGAAAATGTAGCAAGCACTTTTTCATATAAAAAATTTGCAGTTTCAATAAATTACTTAATTGCAATCAAAGTTGATATTTTTGCCAAAACCAAAAGTATATTTTTAAATAGATTTACTTGGCAATCTTTTTAAAAAACAGCGTGAAAAATATTCCTTTTCATGTATTACAATTGATTTCTTAAGTCTTTGATTATTTCTGTTAATGACACTAATTTCAGTTTATTTGTAACATCTTTCACAAATTGTCTTTTTCCAACCGCAATATTATAGCTTTTTTTAAAATGAGACTTATACGTGACGATAAATAATGGGTAAATATGTAATTTTATCCTGAAATAATTTATGCTAGTATACAAGAGAAATACAGTACTTGAAGTGGAACACTGAAATAAAGTTAACTTCCGTATAATTTAATGAGTCACAAATGATAATAATTATGTTTTTCTTTCAAATTTAGCAGCAGCAATGATATTATTCACAAAGCAATGAAACTGAAGCTACTGATAATCCAAATGTTTCAAAAATTCATGCCTTAACAACTTTAATGATAGTTTTATTTTCCTAATATCTCTGTAAAAGCCTAATATTTTGTTGATTTTCCAATGCTTTTGAATTGTATCTTGAAAAAAAGAATTGATTAGGAAAAAAAGTAGTGAAAAAATTGAGAATATTAAAAGAAATGCTTAAATTGTTTTAGGCAATTTTCTCATCACATTACTTATTCTCAAGAATTTATACTACAAACTAAGCATACAGCAAGAATTTATACTACAAACTAAGCATACAGTTACTCACAAGACTTTCCCCTCGAAATTTCCTCGTTGAAACAATTTCGTGAAATATAAAGTTTTTTTTAAATTGGCATTATGATATTATTTAAATCAACAATTATTTCCTTGGTTTCCTTTCATCTTATAAGTCTATCTTGTGCTCTTGCAGCCTTCTCTCTATAATGCTAACTTAAATTTTGAAAAATTCATAAAAGACTTGCAAAAATTTTTTCTTGGTTTCATGAATTAGTTAATGTGTTCAGATAATGGACCAAATTTGCTGTGTTATGTTATTTGCCTTTTTAAAACAGCTTAATATGAATAAATTTTACACTCTACATACTTAATATTTATTCTTACGAAGTTCGTGCATAATGCAAGAGAAGTCTTGAAATCTTGTAAAAAATTGATATCATAGAAATAATAGTACCAACAGAGCAGCCTTAGTTTCTGAGGAAATTTGCAGGCATTAATATTGGGCATAATTAAAGTAATGAAATAATATTGCCTACTTCTCAAATAATTACCTGACTTTAATCGTTAATAGCTTACATTAAAAATGACTCAAATATAAGAATAAGACACGATTTTTATTATTTACAGTATCATATCATCTAAAAAGTCACTTCTATAGTTTCTAGTAACTGAATTTTATTTTTTAAGTCAATAATGAGTCGTTTGTTTTTATTTTCCAGTAAAATAGGTAGATTACTCTCGTTATACGTCACAAAAATGTGGTGAAAACAACAAAATTTTCTCGATAAAATTTCATGGTAGTACTGAAATGATATATGAACTATGTTTAAATCATTCAGTCTTGCCAAATTCTTGTTTTTTTTAAGAGAAATATGATGTATCTGAATAAAATACTTTCATGATTCGTCTACATAGTTGGCTAGAAACTTTTCCGTACACTGAATAAAAAAATAAGTCACAACTGTAGTGGAAAAATGATTACTGTAAAAAAACTTGTTGCATTTTTAATTAAATATAAATTGAGCATTGCATACTGTTGACATCTGCTCAATTGGTTTCTGATTTTATTTTTTAATTTAAGAAAGAATCATTTCTGAAATTCAAATACATTACTCGTGATGGATTGGCAAAATAAATCTTTCGTTAGGATAAGCATGAAATTTTTCTTTGATGTCATGAAAATTTAGCTCACAGAAATATTTTTCCAAACCTTTCAATAATAATTATTGTATGTTAAAAAAGAATTTGTTTACCTCCAATCTTATCTTACTACTAGATAATTAAAAATTTAGTTAGTTGATTACTGGAAAAATGATATTCAATATTAATTCTGGCAAAATTAACATTGATTTTAATAAGTGTAACATATTTAAGCATTCTTCTCTTTTTCTTTACTTTTCAATTATCGTCATGAGAAAATTTTTGGTATAAAATACTACTTTACTACGATTTTTAACTAACACTTTCAAACTTTGGCTTATTAATACAACAATTCAACTATTTTAGTATTTTAATTTCATTTTCCATAAAATATTTGTTTAATGCCTAAATGTCTGTGGAAATATAAACAGTATAAACATGGTCTAAAAATTTTCTGACAAAGTAACATACAATAATCTAAAATCCAGAAGGATTGGATTAATATATTTTATTGCTAATTTTTATAAAATCATCCAAGCTGCACCATGCTTACTTTGAATTCCTAAAAATTTCCTTCAAACAATATTTTAGAACCAAATATCCTGAAAATCAGAATATTTCTCAACTTCTGCATATTTCTTCGCCGCAGGAAAGATCAAACTTTCACCAAATACATTCTTGAAAATGTTCTATAGATTTCTAAAATTGCATGGTTACTATTTATTAGAATATCTGTAACAACAAATTATTTTATTAAAGAAAAAATTACTCTCAATGCAATTTGTTGATGTCATCAGTATTTAAATTATTAGTACATATAGCGACGTGAATTTTGACAAATATGAAATTTTATTTTTTACCAACAATAATCGTAAAAATTTTAAATTTTGGAAATTTGGAAATTGTAAATTCAAATGCTGTCTTATTCAAATAAATTTTGAAACGAATATGCAAATTTTCATCAGCACAAATTCGAATCTCTCAAATAATTGAAAATTTGTTTGCCAAAATGCCAACTCTTTCTACATTTAAGAAAATTTTGCATACGCAATTCAGCATGTATTAAGTTTTTGAGATACTACATTGATTCGTTTGAATATTTATTGAAATTCCGTGAATCATCTTTTATTAACTGATTAAAATATTTGCATCAATGCTCATTGTTCCTTCGCACATTTTAATTTAAATTTTACATGATGAGACACTTAATAAAATGCAAAATTGTCTAATTTGAAATTAAGCGTTCGTGCACTTAATTCATTTCCGCGATATGAGTATTTAAAGTTGGTAAAATCGTTAATTTATTCACTGTTCCATGTTTCTCGATTATCATTGTTCCACATCTCTTCATTTACTTTTGAGGATCCGAAATTTTCAATTTTTAAGTAAAAACTCAGTCGCTGGGAACAAGTGAGCAGGGAACAACAAGTTTCCTGCAGACTTGTTCTGCAGGCACTGCAGATTCGACTTCACGACCCCAGAATCAGGCAATAAAATACTTCAGTTTATTAGTCTTGAACCAGTCATAAAACAAGATTAATAAATTTTTTGTAATGACTTTTCAATTTAACTAAGAATTTATTTTTAAATTAGAAATCTGTACACTGTTGGGAATTAAGGTACCCACAAATGGAAAGCACGAAGGACATGGTCTTATTTTTGGCCCTGTCTTTCTATTTGGTTTTGATTTCCGTCGTGATCTGTGCTTCAGTTGTCATCTGCCAGTGCATAAGAAATCGACGGAAAAAAAACCAAAATGGAACAGTAATATTTTATATCGCAGTACATATTATAATTAATCTAATTATCACTAATGGTTAATACAGATGATGCAAAACATAAATCATAAATAATTCTTACTGTTTAAGAATGAAATGCTACTGAATAATATTTTTTATATCACAGCATGACAGGACTAGTTTTAATGAAGCATTTGATTAATAAATGCTTCTTTTAAATGTTTCCGTATTTTAGGTGGGGCAAAATCTTGAGGAGGTGGTGATTGTAGAAAGAGAAGTATGTAGCGAGAAAGAGAATCCAAAAGGTTCTCCATTGGAGCAAGACGAAAAACAAGAATCCTTCTGCAGGTCAAAAGAGTCATGCATTTTTATCATAATTCAATTAATCAGTGGCATTGTCAACACACTGAATATGATTTTTATACACAAATAATTTTAGTAACCACAAACTCCCAATCGAAAACGAAAACATTTTTGCAATGAATTATTGCAAAGAAGAAGAAAGCTCACCCAATTTGGAGCTAATTTCAAAAATTGGTATGCAAATGAACTAAAATATCCAAAAATTGAAAACTGTTCATTTGAAGTGTACTAATTTGGAAGAAAATTTTTGCTACTTCTGATTTATAGCTGTGTGTTATTGTATCATGCCAAGTTACTAGCTTTATGAAATATTCCAATATTCTTCAAGAATGCAATTCATAATGATCTTCTCTATGATAAATTCTGCGAGCACTAAGATAAAAATTTGCTTATTTAACAGGCACCGCCGCTTCGCATTCCATACTATCAACACCCAGCGGAGATCAAAAAAGTGATTTTGGTTATTTATCAAAATTTTCATAAATTAATTTCCATTTTTTAATGTTTTAAAGTAGATCAATGTCTTTGCGTATTTATGGCAGTTTTTATATATATCATAAAATTTGTTATTATCAGGAGCTAAATAAGGCGTTTAATTGCAGTGAAGCTTGTATAATTACAAACCTTTCTGAACAAGTTTGAATGCTCAAATCTTGCTTAATGAGTGTATTTTTCTATTGCCAAAACTAGATCTGAATTTAAAACTACTGTCAATTAATGAATCCTATTTAGCTTCATCCAATGAAAGTTTGCCGAGTCCAGAATACTCTAATATTCCTTATACATCGGCATATGGAATGCGAAGAATTGGGAAAAAGTTTATTGAGTAAAACAGTTTATTTGTATTAAAAAAAGTATATATGTATCTTTGATGCTGTCAAAAATTATCTTGCATTATATGAATTCATTTCAGAGATACTAACATAAGTTCGCCTACATCAAAATCATTGGAGCAAAAATCTGATGAAGACTTGAAGTATGATTTATAAGTACATTTTTTAACCTTATAAGTGTCATTCTTAATGATTTATATATTACATTTAAGGCGGCTGGAAGAAAGTAGTAAAGGAGATAGCAGCCATTCAAGCATTTCTGAAGAAAAAGTTGCGAAGGTGTCTAAAGGCGACCATTAACAGACCCGCTAAAGGCGTCTACTAACCATTTTAGCCCTTGAAAGCTATTACTAACATCTAGTTTAATAAAATACTGATTAATTAAATATTATAATTGTGATTAATAAAATATTGCTTACTAGTATTTTGAATAAATATTTTTAACACCATCAAAAAGGATGAATTGTTTTTCATGATATATTGGCCTCAGGGAGTTGGTTATTTTTGAAGAAATCAGAAATATAGTAATGGAGTTCTATCGTTCTCCTAAAACTTAAGGTCTTTTACATGCTATAGAAATAGTATAATGTTAGAATTCAAAAAAAAAAAGTTTTGTCGAGATATGAATGGTATGTATAATGCGACAGTAGCTAAATTTTAATATGAAAGCAGTAAGTAAAAAACTGAAAAATAACAAATTAACTGAAAAATAACAAATTAGGAGGTATATTCTGGAAATTTAACGCAAAGTCCACCTTTTAAAGTTTTTGTAACAGGTTAGCAACTTTGTTACAAAGAGACTACATTCATTTATGTGTAACTGTCAAAGAATACGGTTGGAATTTGTACAGTTATGGATATTTCCCATAATAAAAATGATTTGAGTAATGGAACTAAATTCAAACTCTTTCCATTACTTTAAAGAAATCGTTTTATTTTACTTTTGTGATAATTTCTGTATTTATATGGTATTTTAATAAAAAACTTTAGATTAAATTTTTAAAGCATTCATACGGATGGTTGAACTTGTTTTCATTATCATATTATGTAAATGAACACATTATTTTTATTTGTGGACTCAAAGTTTTGCTTGAAATATTTTTGATCTAGGAAATAAGACAGAAGTTATTTTGCTTTTTTTTCTAATAGAAATAAATATATGTGAAATATTTTTGAAGAGAATATGTTGCAAAATAAATAATAAGACTTGAAGTGGAAAGTATACACTTAGATTGTTTTGTATAATTCATTACTTTATCAAAAATTTTTGCATAGAAATGTTCATAAAAATTTTCATAGTACTTTGATTTCAAGGTATACTTGGTTATCAAAAATATATTTTTTATTATCACAAATGAATATTTAATTAAATCATTCAAATTTCTTTCAAAAAAAACTTGTTATTCATTCTGCAGCGTAATATTTAACAGAAATACAGAGTTTTCCAAAAGAACAACATTGATGAAAATTTATTTTAAATTTTATTTTTCCAATTTTCAGCGTATGAAATTATGATGTTTAGATGTAAAAATGAATGAGCAGCCATTTCAGAAAAGGTATTCAACACACAGTTAACAAGAAACTATTCATTGCACTTAACCGGTTTTTTGAGATTTTATAAAGATTTCGTCTGAGACAGGTCACAACGAAAAATTTCATTCTGAAACCAACAACGACAACACGTCACCTTTTATTCTAACTAGTTGATCTGATTAGTACCATGCTCCCATTACTAATTACAACTAACCAGATCAACAAATTCCCTGTTGCCTCATCTCTTTCTTGACTGCTTACATATTTTTCTGAGTATTTTAATTTCATGCACCATTTTGTTACTACTTTCTTCTTATCGTTTATTTTCCATCAAATCATAATTTTGCTCTTTTCCCAATGAAAATATTTGTGAAATATTTTTGGACAGAATATAATGCAAAATACATAATAAGAATTTATGTGAAATTATACACTTATATTGTTTTGTATACACTATGCAGTTTCTTTGCTCAGTTTCTAATAATGCTTTTATTCTTCATTTTTTTATTATCACAATTTTAAAAATTGACTCGTCTATTAATTATTCAATAATCATTCAACTTTTTATGGTACTTCTAATTTTTGAAATTACTTACTACTTTTTTTGAAGTGCAAAAGAATTCGCCAATTTTATATCGTATGACAAATTACTATTGTTTTACATTCTCAACAATGCTTTTTGTTACATCAACGTTGAATGATATCAACTTCATGTCATCACTTCATCTAAGCATCAAAATTTATTGATGTATATTTCAATATTCACATTGTAATTAGAAGATTTGAACGAAACCTCGTAGTCAATGAATTTTATCCTTTTTACATATTTCTAGAGCATGCTAAATGAAAGCTATTTGCTGATGGCTTCTGCTGGACATTGCTAAAATATGCATTATCAATAGAAAGGTAGAGATTTTGAAAATTGCTTTTCGAAATACAAAGTTTACAGAATTTTTTTACTCTACATATTGTACTTATGCAAGTTCATAGTGTCCAGATAGCATTTAGCAGTTATTCAGCAGTAATTAGTAATCTATTCAACATCCTAGACTTATAGATATGAAAAGTAAAAACACATCGGCAACTAACAATGAAACATGTAAAAGAAATATATGAAGTTAAAATCTGCTTGTCATGAAATTTCTATATTAGCAATTTTTGAAATAAATTATTATTTGGTAATGGAAATATGTTTTGGTAATTGCAATGTAGTAATAAATGTGGGAAGCAAAAAAATTCAATATTCTTAAAATGAATCTATATCCAAACTGTAAATAGCATTTATTATGACAGAAAATCTGATGATTTTGTTTGTTCTAATATACTGCAAGATCTTTATTATTACCATGTCAAAAATCGTTTGTGATAATGCACAAATTGGTAATTTTATTTATTTATAAAAACGTGAAATATAAAATATTCTTTGTCTGGTAATTTTAGTAAGAAATAGTTCCATGAAAAAGATAATTCCAGTGCCTTCCATAATATGTGGGAGTGCTATCGCAAATCAATTTAATGTTAGAAAAAAATGCGCAGTTTTTAAACTTCCATCGATTTCTGAAACCTTTCAAGTTCTCCATTTTTTTGCTACAGAATTAGCACAAAAGTTTATTTTACATCTATCTGTTCAACTAAGCAAAATCATAAAATTTTCGATGTGTAAAATAATTTTTTATTTTTTGAGTTCAGTCAGTTGAATTTCGTTTTTACGTACAGTTTCTACGTGAAGTTGATCTGCTGCACTTTATCTTGTTTGCTATTTTATCAAACTAAAGATTTAATTCTTAGTATTGAATAATTAAGGAGTTTTTTATTTTAATGTAATACAGCATGTATCTTTTGAGCACGTATGTGAAAATTGTACACTGTGTAGCTGAGAATTATAAATTTGTAATTATCGTTAATGTGAATTTGAACTTCTAACTTTTAGGTTACTTCATAAAGAGATGAAATAATTTTGGCGATTCTGTAATTCAGTTTTTAACTTTGAATTTATTTTTGCTTACTAGTTCGTTTAATTTAAAAAGAGACAACTAATTCCTACTCCTAGAAAATAGTAACGTAACTACTTTTGTTATTAAACAAAATCATAGAAGCAAAACAAAACCATTCAATCAAAGCCAGTTCCAAACTGCATACAATTATGATCAAATTTTAAGTATAACTTTCCATAATGATGTGTTTGGGCATCGTTGCCCCAAAAAAGATTATTATTGATGCATATATTAACCATAAATTAGCTTTATTATTTATATTGTTACTTTATTTTTAAATTGTCTTTAAAAAACGTGGTAACGAAATACAAAAGTCCTACACTGCTTTCATAAATATAGGTAGCTATTATTCTTATGCCATAAGTTTGATATTTTGTAGAGGCTGATGAATATATACCATCTGAAGACGACGTTATCTCATCACTGCTCATTTTAATATTGATGTCAAATATAAAATGCCCTGCAGCAAAATAACTATCGCTAGCTGTTTTCACTTACGAAAAATTTCAGCAACGAAACTATGCTCATCTTTTCAATAAATTATAGTTTTAAAGCAAAATTTCTTTGTTGATATTCACAATCTCTACCACATATTATTAGTTTACTTTTCTCGTTATTTTCTTATGGTTAATAATGCTTTTGTAATAAACATCATAGTGTTTTGATTTTTACATGTCTCACCTTTTTTTTTTTGCGGGACATATTTTATTAATTTTCATTTTTTCAATTTTAATGATTGACAGTGCACTAATAACTTATTTTTTACGCATAACTTTTTCCTAAAGTACTTCATCATAAATTGTTTAAGCCGGAAAATTAGGACGCTGCAAACTGATTGATGTATTCAAATCAATCATTGCTAGGTTAGTTACTGTTTTCGAGTAAGTCTCTGTTACTCTTCGAAACAAATAATAAGACTCTAACTGCCCACAAATTTTTGATTAAATAGCACTTAAAAAATCGAAATCGGATAACTTTCTTGATCGTTGTGTAGGTAAAAATTCTTACTCTCAATATTAGGTGTTAACTTTTTCAGTAAATATACGTTAAGAGAAGAAAAAAGGATGAGCTACTTGATCAGTAACGTTTTACAGTGGGGAAAAATTTCTGTAACATCGTTTTGTTATCTTTTAACTGCTGAAACCAGTTCGCTTTACAGGTTTGACATGCAAGTAATTAATTGTCTATATAGTGGTTAATTTTGCAGTTGGTCATAGACGATAATGAAATGCTGTGACGGCGTTGAAAAATTCTTTTCGAACAGTTTACAATTTTTTAATTTTATACTTTTATGATTGCAGTATAAAGTTGTTTCATTCATGAAGTACATTTAATTTATTTTGCTCGTTTAAATTTTAAGAATTTCAAGTTCTTTGTTATACTTATTTTGAAAATTTATTTCCTCTGATATGTTTGTGGTTCAGTTTGAATGCTTAAAATATTGTTGCTGATGTTGCTTGATAATCTTATAATAAATTTCATTCATTTATTAGAGTCTATTAATATGAATATATCGCAAAATCAATATGTAACTTTATTCGATTTTATGCAAATAAATAACTAATGAGAGTAATTTCAATAACGCAACTGAATTATATGCAAATACTTTTCAGCTTAGCATGAAAAGAAAAACAATTTTAATTCTTGCACTAACAATACCAGTAGTAATTGCGCAGACCAAACAGAACGAAATCAAAGAATTTGAAAATCCAAGGGTAAGTTTTCTAATTGCTTGGGATAATGACTAAAGATTAATAAAATAAAATATTCACTCCATGTTAAATATTTAAAGATTAAGACAAATAAGATTGAACAAAAAACTACAAATTTTTTTCCATTTATTCTGA